TAAACAGTATTATTTAATCATTGTAAGTTTAGCTATCAAAAATTAAATCTTAACGTTTATAGTAAATATCTAGCAATTTATTTATTTAAGAAATTGATTATTCTTTCATGAAATAAATGGTAGAACATTTTCTTGATAACAACTATCCGATTTATGACAGTTCATGTCCAATCGCTAAAAATTCGGATCAACATAAACAAGCTTTAAGATGTAACAATAAAATATTGACATAAAATTCAAGTAGTAGCTCAGTATACTACTATCGCTTCAAAACAATCAACATTAACAAAATACTCGTAAAACTATTGGAAATACAAAAAGTAATATTATGACAAATGATATTTTTACAAAATTATATTATTAAATTGTATAGTTGTCGATCAAAGATATATATACTCTAAGTTGTCTATCATTTTAACAAATAAACAATATGATACTAGTTTCATAAAATACTAAAATAATTATTCAAATGCTGGTAACTACTACAGTTTTGTAAAAACTTAACTAATAGTTTTAATAAAAAGTATGAAATAAAATTTATTTAAATTTACTATTTAAGATAAATTAGACACTTAATATACTTTTAAAATATGTGCGCTCTGGTGAATAGTTTTATTGTCTCATTACATAGATATAGAATAAAATAAAGTCTTATTTTCCTTAATTTTACAAATGAAAAGTTTATCATTTTAGACTCCTTTCATTTTTAATGGTAAGTAGTTTTATTCAATTTTTTTTCTACTTATTTATTTTGTCGTTTCAGTTTTATTATAACAATAACGATTATTTAGGTTATTCACGAGATGGATTCATTAGCTACCAAAAACTGTCATGTAAGTTTTAGCGTTAAAAATAATTTAATCTGTAATGAACGAACAATTGAACACTGAATTAATGGTTAAAAATACAAAATATCCTTAAGTCAATTTTACGATTGACATTTTTATAAGACAACCCTCTTATTTAATATTTCATTAGCATACATAAGAAAATTTTTTTTCTGTCAAGTTCTATTTAATTAAATATCGTAAGAAATAATATTATAAATTCTTTAACAATTATTACAGTTTATCTCATCTAGATAAATGAAAAATATTTATAAAAGTTTAAACGATTAATTCTGTACGATCCAAATATGACATTAAATATTTGTTTCTTATAAACAAAATTTTTCAAATAACCAGAGTGAAAAAAAAATGTATAATAGTTCTTCATAATAAAGAAACTATTATAAAACCACTATTGACTTCAAAGTCCTTAACAGTTGACCTTGTATATTTTTTTATCTACTTCTTTATTATGTTTGAGTTAGAATTATAGTTATAGGCTTTTCAGATTTCATGGTGGTTTTCATTTGCCGCTTAGTATTAACTATGCTTGAAGCCAAGCAGTTTAAACGAAAGTATACACGCTCGGTAAGGTTTGAAGATAAATATGACTAGAGGAAAAAAAGTTGATCATAGACTACCAGTATAGTTCCAAGTATAAAGTAAACCCGCAGCTCTATGACAATAATTCAAAATACACATTTCCCCTTTCGCCTACATCTTTAACGACATACATTCGCACAGGAAAACCCTAAATAAACATATATACTGTCCGCCTAAGCACTACTAGATTGAGATATATAGCTCAAAACCCATAAAACTATAGTTATCAACTAGGATAAATCGTTTTCCACTCTCATACATTATATGTCACTACATACAATAACACATGGCAATACTACAATGCATAACACTGCACAGTACTTAATTTAAAAACAATAATTCGTTAAATGTTACAAAGCCAAAACAACTCAACTTTTGTGCTAGAAATGGTTATGTATATTTCCAAATAAATATATTATAAAAATAAATACATGAACTCAGCTAAGAGAATAATGACTATAATGCTACAAGATAAATGCTGCATTGTACTATATTTATATTCTATATTTTATATATTATATTACTATTAATATTATATACACTCGCGATGAAAAGTTAAGCCATCAAATAGTTTTCGTTCATTGTTTGTAGGTATAAATTTATCGTGATATCTTTGTATTATATTCAGTTTTCCACATCAACATGTTTATATCAGAAAAATGTTATCACTGTACAGACGTAACTAAAACACTGGAGAACTTTAGAAAGCTCACTCGAACATAGATAATGAATGCAGTGCTAATAACAATAGGGCACCACTGGGGAGCAAATAGCGAACGTCGACGGAAAGGGATATTACATGAGTAGTAAAACGTTTCTCATAAAGTATGATGTCAAGATGGCAAGAGAAGAGGTCGATATGACTACAAGGGTAAAAGATCGAGGGGTTTGTGCAGGCAAACGGACGAAAGAATGGAAAAAACCGTCTAGAGGCATATCTTTCAAACCGTTCTACTCTACTCTTACAGCTGCTGGCCGGCACGGAGTTCACGATAAACCTTTTTACACGACGAAAGCGGCGAATGAAGTGAATGCGTTTTATTCTCGTGTCTCTCTCTTCCTTCTTCCCACTTTCTCCGTTATCTCCAAACGGGTTCTAACAAATTTCGGTAGCGCATAAAATTTCTTGGTCGCCGTCATAAAATCTAATAGCATCCCTTTAATCTACCCACTTGCACTCACTCGCACTACCGCTCCTTTTAAATGTTAACAATGACGACAGAGCGCGGCTTATGTGCAAGTTTAGTAAATACGTTTGGAGCAGCCAAAACATTGAAAAACTACAAGATAAAGCATTAAGTCGTTAAACGGCAGCTTAGAGGCATTCAAGTCTCAGAACCGAAGAGAAATTTTAATGACTCGACAGATATAACGTTTAAATAGACAAAAGGTTATAAAAAGTACATATCTTTGGAAATAAATAAAAACACTTGTTAAAATAATTGATTAAATCGTAGTGCTTAAAATAATAAATTTAGCAGTTTTTGGAATACTTTTTATGTATTATTCTAACTGACCACGTTTATTACTACTGATACAATTATCATTGTATTTTTATCATATTTATTTATTTATCGTTTTTACATCATACTTTTTTAATAATCATTGCCTTCTTAGAATATGTTCGAAACATATTTCTAATTATTTATCACTAATAAGAAAAATAATTTTTCAAAATGTGATGGGTTTATAATAATTAATAATATAATAATTTTAGGACTAGTACTCATTGAGTTATAAGGATTTCAGTACAAAGAGTTGGTGTGTAGTGGGATGGAAGCAGCTCGTACTGATGTACGTAAACTACGTCCGCTTTCCATACCCACTCAATGTATTAAAATGCTTGTAACTCAACGAGTACTTGTCCTAAATTATTATCAATCCGTCAAATTTTTTTTGTAAGAAAAGGACTAAAATATGGCTATTTTGAAATTTTTAAAAAAATTGTATTTTTATTTTTCTTATTAGTGATACATAATAAAAATTATGCATTAAACGTAGTATAATCTGACAATACATATTTTTAAAAAAATTTAACAAAGTCGAAATATATATTCGCAGTTTTTACTAAAAATAGTTTATATTTTAAAACTGAAATTATTTAATTTGAAATTAGAAATTCAGGTAAAATTATTTAAAAATTTTTGAAATTAAACAGTATGAACGCCTAAAATTATAATTTAAACCATACCATTCACTTTTCATATATCAAACAAAATTAATCTATCTTCTTTAATAACTGGTATAAAATTAGTTATTCTTTAAAATACATCGACCACAATAATACTCTGATAATAATACTGCAAGATTATTTTGTTTCTTTTTAATTTACTATGACTTATTTCCAACTAACATAACATCATTAAAGTCACTCTAGTATAAATCAATTACGTATAAGTCAATGATAATTGAATATTGTAAATTATAACATTATAAAAAATTCAATGTTGATAATTAATTTATTCAATCAAAAACTGAAAGTTTTTTTAAATATATAGAATGCTTCAGTTAATTACTTGAATCTCATTTATAAATATTCAAAATAATAAACTAAGATTGAAAATAAAAAGTTTTTTTTTTTTTTAATATATATTAACTTTAAAATTACGATTTTACTATATGTAAATAGATTACTTTAGAAACCGAAGAAATCGTATTAATAAAAATAAAGTATACTAACTTGAAATTTTATGAACGTTAGTTTTAAATAATATATAAATAACAAAGTATTTTATTAAGTGTTTACGATTTTCCGTTGTCTTCTATACTCGAAATAGTTATAAATCGAGGAAAACATAAACATTTTGTGGACTGATTTATCCGTAAAACTTAACGTAAACCATTACAAGCTCTTTGACATAGGTTGTTTAATATAGTGAGAGAAACTCTATGAAACTTAAATTCCTCATGGGAAATATAAACTTGTTCGCTTTTCTTAATTAATCATTTACGATTTCATTACAGGATACTGAATTTGAACTTAATTGTAGAGACAAAGAGAGATGTCAAACAATTTTAATATGTTTATACTAGTCGCCAAACTAATCATATGCTACCTCGTAGGTTTTTACTCATAAATTAATTTATTCAAAATAGCCTTCATTTAATCAAAGACCAATAATTTATACATTATATTATAATTCTTGGGCTATAATGTGCTACCGAAAAATATGAGCATAGTAATCATAAGTGTAAAATGGTATTTTATTAACATGGTAACATTACTTCACAGCTGTTTTTTATATAATATTATCAGGTTATTCTCATTCAACTAATCTTTTTACATTGTATAATGTTATATATATATATACAATATATTATGCATGAAATTTTTTTAAAAGATGAAAATATTATAACAATTTAGTTTAGTTTAATGGCTTACTAAACTAATAAAATATATTTAATAACAAAAGCGAAAATTCAATGATGAAATTATAGGGTTTAACTTATCAATGAAATAATTCTTCTGCACCTTTATAAATACACATACCTTTTAGATTTTTAAGGACTAAAGAATTGCTCTTCCATTTACATTAAACATACAATTACGTTAATTATTAAAAAACTTACTTGGACTTCATGCACAATTTCTTGATCGTCCAACAATACAATTTTACAGTGGTGTGTCCGAATACTCGTACAAAAGCAACCCATGATGTTTAACGCCGTCAAAGTTGAGTCCTCAGATGTTCTAAACCAAAATTAAAAAAATTTTATTCATTGTTTCATTTAGACATTAGTAATGAAAGTATTTTGTGTTTATGGTAAACATTACTCGTCGAGATCTAATAGTAAAAATCATATATCCAACATGATTTACTACACAAGTTCTCGCGTCAAAAAATTGAAAAAATAAATAACAAGAATAAAACTTTCCCTTTGTTTACTATAATATATTGTATAATATGTTAAAGCAATACTTTTTATGTCGTCGTTAGTTTTTAATTCTTGTCTGTGAAACACAAGAGTATATTGATCCTATTAACGTTTCTTTTAAGAATATTAAATATTCCCATTAAACACACGCAAAATATTTGTAATAATAAAGTAAATTTCTTATAATTTAAAAAAAATTACAATGAAAATCACTGTATTTGCGCAAATACTTCTAGTGGCTTTTGCACTACACCAAAAAAGCCATTTTAATCAAATCGATTTGTGGTGGCTTTTTTTTTAAATAATACAATGGTTATATAAAGGGAGGTTCGATTAGACCAGATTTTTATATAACTCGGTACAATTTCCCATGCGACCGGTAGAGTGGAATGGAATTCAAGAGATATTGTCTCTAGAGAATTTCTAACGGGTGGTTTGAAAGGAAACCGTTACAACTTAACTCGCGTGGGATGTTGTCCAAAACATTTGGTCGTAAATGCAATTTACGCGAAATACCCAAAAGTTTTACACGCCATATCACCACTTACGACGATATAGTCGAAGAAAAAATGTACAAATTGTGTACAAAAGAAAAATCAATAACCTAAGAACAGCAAAAATAATTATTCTATTAATTCAAAAAGTATCAGTTGAATTATACTAACAAACATTCAACACAACAGTTTCTTTCTACTCTAATTTATTCGTGTATACCGGATAAAAACTTCTCTTAAAAAATGTAGATTATTTATCCCATGCTTTATTCTTTATTTTAACACAATTAAAGTTTATTAAGTTTATTTTATTTTGTTTAATAGAAATCAATAGCGTAAAAGAACTCCGAAGATAACTAATTCATTTTATTATCGATCTATTGTAAAATATATAGCTACTTCATTTCAATCGTCTGCTATAACAAAAAAAAGAACAAAGTTTCCTGATTAAGTTTTTTATTCAGTCAGTATTCCTTAGTACTGTATTCGTACTTAAAGAAGTAATTGTTGTACAAAAATTCTCTTGAAAATTTATTTAAACTTATAATTCACAAATTAAAAAAAATAAACTAAATGTTGATTAAAAAAAGTTAAGTGAGCGAAAAAAATATTTATACAATATCTTCAATTAATTATAGTAAGTATTTTTAAATTATATTTTATTATAAAGGTCATTGTTGATATCATTTAATCAACTAACATTAAAAATGAAAATATATAACTACATCACTCTACGAATAAAATACTGTTTAAATTACCAACTTGAACTACAATAGTAGAAGTTCATAAAAGAAATACATATTAAATCAAAACTTTGATATAGAAACCCGCGAAATAAATTTAAAATAACTTCTTTGAAACTTTTATAATAATAAAAGAAAATTACTATAATTTCTAAAATCTTATAATTCAATTTTTGTTTTTATTTGCATTTAAGAATCATATGCATACATCAATTGCCAATCGAGCGTAATAATAGGGTATATTTTAATCCGAATATTTCAAGAGTAAAAAAATTATAGTTTTAAAAAACTATAATCCGGTCTAAATTAAACGCTAGAAAGAACACGACAGTAACAGACAAAAAAGTTTTTGGCAAGTACTCAATAACTTACAAAACAAACCAAACTAAAACAATAAACAAGGTCTATTGAGTATTGACCTTATGATAATTCATTAATACAAAAATAATTTACTTTAATAAAGAATCTTCACATTCATATAATGTTAGTCAACTATTTCATAATTTAATTGTTAGAAAAAAAATATTAAGGAATGAATTTCATAAAATATTTTATTTTTTATTGTTTCTTCTAAAACTAATCCGTTTATTTAAAACTTGATATAACTCGTTATTTTCAGATCAAATTAAATTTAAATGAAATATTTTTAAATTTATTTCTTTAACTAAAATAAGACAATGTCTTATGTCAGTTATATTAGTTACTATGCCTTATTAAGGCATAGTTGTAAACTATTATACTATTAATTATTAATATATATATATATATATATATATATATATACATATACTATACATATATATAATATATATATATATATACAGAGTGATCAAAATCTGGTAAGACACTCATTTTCTCAGAAAATATTGAGAATTTTTAATTTTATTATAGAGAAAAAATATCAAGTTCAAAAAACTCTACAATAATATGTAGTCAAATCATTATATTTTTCGTCCCTTCAAGGATAAAATTCCTTATTTATAATTTTCTTAAACGGGAACCCTTATTTTTAACTTTATAATTTGATAGAAGAAAAAATTACAAACAATTTTGTTCTTATAATTTTTTTTATCCGATTAACCGTTCGTCCGTTACAGCTTGTTAAAGTTAAGTGAATTTAGGCCAAATTTCTATTGTCATTTTACTGTATTAAATACAGAAGTCATTATTTTTATTTGCAGTTGCATAAACCAAATTTTATTGATCAAATTATGACAGGTAAATTAGTAATAAAAATTTACTACTCACTAAATGAGTGATAACAATAATAGATTCAAACCGGGTTTTCGGTGTATTATTAATAGCTAAGTCTATGGTTTTGTAAGACTNATTAATAGTTAAGTCTATGGTTTTGTAAGACTAAAGGTTCTGACAGAATTACCGGTTGCACTGCCACCGATATTATGAAACGTAATAAATGACAATATGTTTTCTGGAAGTCAAAATCTTTAAACTATTATAAACCGTAAACGGTTGTTCGGATAAAAAAAATTATAAGAACAAAATTGTTTGTAATTTTTTCTTCTATCATATTATAAAGTTAAAAATAAGGGTTCCCGTTTAAGAAAATTATAAATAAACATTTTTATCCCTGAAGGGATAAAAAAAAATTTATTTTTCATATTATTGTAGAGTTTTATAAATTTAATAATTTTTCTTTTAACAAAAATTTTAAATTCTCAATAGTTTCTGAGAAAATAAGTATCTTACCAGATTTCGATCACCCTGTTTATATATGTATTGTATTATTATTAATATATTATTTTAAATAAAAAAAACTCTTTTAACTCTATTCTATACTATTTTTTTAGAAATTTAAAGATATTTAGAATAAATTTATTTCGATAGATATTTTTTTCAACCGTTTAAATTTTTCTTATGACGTCAATTGAAAAAACCGTTTGGCATATTAAGTGGCTATTCTACGTGCAACGGTGAAAACATCATAATTCACATACTTTATAAGAAGAATAATACTAACATGCATAATTTGTTAGATAGTTATGCATAAATATAAACCTATAATGTACTAAACGGTACATCATTGTTATTTATATTGTAAATAGGAAATATTATTATTGGGATGATACTGAATGCGGAGATAAATACTTTATTAACAAACATTCTATTTACACGTCAGTAATATTATAAACAAGTATTACAAGCCCATAAGGCTTCAATATAAGACGGCAGAACTCATTCCCGCCAACAACAGACCCATTTCAATCGGTTTATTCTTTTACCTGTCGCATCTTCCCTCGTAACTAATAACTAGTAACTGTACAAAAATCAAGAATAGGGTTATTTTTAGATATACTTCATGACAACATAATATTATGAATACAACTGTACATAAAATATTACAATCCTAATTTCGACTACCTTTCAGAGACAGTCAAGCCTGTTGAAGAACTATTTCTAACTCAAATTGTCAGATTCATTCTCTTAATACTACATCTACAGTTTTAGTTAAACAAAATTAAATATTTCCCTTAAAACTTCATTGTTTTTTAAAAATAACATTTTATTTTCATTATGTTTACTTAGTATTATCAACAGTGTTCAAGATCGTATCCATTAGGCATTATAAGCACTGTGCCTGAGACATACGAGAAATAGAAGATCTACGAATTTTTGTAATTTTGTTCATCCCCTTAGTAAAAATTATTAGAAAAAAGTTATTTTTCCAACAAGTTCCTGGGCTTCAGAATAACATTATCCAACTCTAACAATGTTAAAGGTATAATATTAAACCCCTAACTCTGAAAAACATTTCATGCATCATCAAAATTAAGTATTTTAGTACAAGGAAAGCTCATTATTTTTATAACGAGCTTTAGGATCTATTTATAAAAATTTGAAAATATTTTGATTATTTCTTTCATTATTTAAATACATAAATAAATATTCATAATATTTTATTATAAAATGTTTAAAAAATAGATTTTGATGAAATTAACGGAATATATAAATACATAAAATATTAAAAATTAATATTTTGTACAGCATCAAGTAAAAGATTTTACAACTATGCTTAATTTTAATCTTTGTTCTACATCTACGATCCTTGGGTACATAATGTGTGTAAAAGGGTGTGTGTGAGCGTTTTCCACCATGCAGTTCTATTGTTTCGCATCAGTTGACATTGAGATTAAACTTAAACCTTTATTATACAAAATGGTCACAATACAAAATAACTAAACTAACTAGATTTTTTGCAGAATATACCCATTTAAACATGCTTTAAATTTTGTTCAACTGTTCATCACAAAATAAAAACCCTAAAAAATATACAGCAGCAATTTAAAGAACTTTGTTTGAATACTATAAAAAATTTAATGAATAGTAATCGTAAACTAATTAAACTATATGTAAACGTTAACTATGATTACAATAATAATCTCAGTCATAACTAAATAAAAAAAGGTAATATTCTAATAGTTGACAATAAAACCCTTAACTTAAGACAATATATAAATATTATAACAACATAAATTATTTTTAAAAATCATGGATTTGAGATGATAACAAAAACCTTGTCCACTACTTTTTTGAAATAAAATTTTGTTTAATAATTA